CTTTATATTTTCTGGCAATAATTTTCTTGGGGTTTTTTTTGTCCTTTTATTATGTATTTATCAAAATCTACCCCACCTCTGTGTTTCTGAATGTAGCTGTGTAAGAGGAATGCAGTCAAGACTACACTCAAGAGTTTTACGTAGTTTAAAAAAATGTATTCGACATTTTTAAACTTGAATAAAGATGTTATTGGACTCGTAACTGATGGTCAAATTGGTAGTTTGCTAATGAAAATTAAGTAGTTTTGACATTTGGATTACATGTTTGTAAGAGCCTGCCAAATGGCTGAACTGAATCATATCACTTTGTTCAACAGTTAACAGGACCTTGATGGTAAAATAAAAGCTAAAATTAATTGAACAGAAAGCTTCCATGTTGGGGAATAAGTAGCCTCTGTGTTGTCAGAAGCATCAAAAAAGTCAATGTTATAAAAAGATTGTCTTGGAGATTCTTTGATTATTTTTTTCCCCCTGACCTCATGGAAAAGAAGGATCATTTTAGCTGGCAGTTTTTACAACGTCAAGCTGGTATAAAATCAAGGATGTGTAACAGTGACAAGACAAGACACTGAAAAAAGGAAGAGTGAGAATGTGTGGAATAATAAAGATTTGAGGTATTGCAGTAGTAACTATTAGAATAAAAACAACTGTCAGTGATGAGTGGAAAGAGAACAAACAAGCTGTTGCCAGGCTGGAGAGTACAGTGGCACAATCACAGCTCATTGCAGCCTCGACCTCCCAGGCTCAAGTTACCCTCCCACCTGAGCCTCCCATGTAGCTGGGACTACAGGCATGGGCCACCACAGCTGGCTAATTAAAAAAAAAAAAAAAATTTCTATGAAGATGGGGTTTGGCCATGTTGCTCAGGCTGGTCTCAAATTTCTGGGCTCAAGCCATATGCCTGCTTTGGTCTCTGAAAAGTGCTGGGATTACAGGCGTGAGCCACTGCACCCAGCTAGTTAGTACTGTAAGTCTGCTTCATAATGAATGTAACTAAAATCGTAAACATTTAGTAAGCTCCAAAAGATATCCCAATTACTGCATTTACTAATCTCAGATGTTTGTATTCACAACTAGCAGAACAGAGGTAGCAGTATTACAGGTAGCTTTCTCCAGTATGGTTCCAGGTTCCCTGTAATGAAAGGTTGAAAAGCAGAAATGCAGTTAGTTTTGACATTTGATGAGAAAATACAGGTTTGTACATGAATGTTTAGAATAAAGATAGATATGATGTGTTTTTAGTTAATTTGGTATCTTACATCAAGGCATAAATTTTATGAGAATAAACAAAGTTTATATTCTCTCTCAAGTTAGTGAAACAGGAGGAGCACTGAATGCTCAAGCCCAGTTAGCATGCACTTTTTATGTGAATGAATCTCAGTGGAAACATTGGATTGCCCGAACTGTGCAATTTATTTATTGGAAGAGTTGCAGTGACATTCCAAACTAAATATAATTTCCAGTGGATTAGATAGCTGGTGAAGTAGGGGGATGAAAAAGCAAACCATGAAGCTGTAAGAGGATTTTGTGGTCCCTGCTGAGAACTCATTACTGCAATACTTTTTATCCCTTGAAGAATTTTCTAATGCTAGTGAAACTGGTAAGGTGTGCCAACTTCTGCTCAGATACTGGTGAATTGGGTGCCTCCTGTAATCTAGAGCAGGTCGTGGATATGCTAATGATGCATGTGCTCTTGTAATATTTTTTTTTTTTTTTGAGACGGAGTTTCACTCTTGTTACCCAGGCTGGAGTGCAATGGCGCGATCTCGGCTCACCGCAACCTCCGCCTCCCAGGTTCAGGCATTTCTCCTGCCTCAGCCTCCTTAGTAGCTGGGATTACAGGCACGTGCCACCATGCCCAGCTAATTTTTTGTATTTTTTTAGTTGAGACGGGGTTTCACCATGTTGACCAGGATGGTCTCGATCTCTTGACCTCGTGATCCACCCGCCTCGGCCTCCTCCCAAAGTGCTGGGATTACAGGCTTGAGCCACCGTGCCCGGCCTCTTGTAATATTTTTGTTACATTCTTTCCAAAGAGTCACAACAGAGACTCTTCCCCACCACCATATTTTTTATAATTTAAGTGAAAGATAATACCACACCTAATAACAGTAATACCTTAGGTTAACATACTTAATTGCTTTACAAGGCTGTTTCATATACATTTGGTTGGTGGATAAGTGTAGGTATTATTTCTCCTGTTTTGCAGAGAGGAAACAGTGGAGAAACTAGAGACAGGTTTCTGATTCCTGGTTCTGCACTGTGTACAGAATACTACATTTAATAGGTATATGAGAAGTAGGGACAGAGCTCAATTTATATTACTATTAATAGCTTGCACTTAAATAACATTTAAATATTACATATAATATAGGAAGATTAACATATTTTACTACTTAAAATATGTAATTTTATTTGGCTCTTATAGTTCTATAAAATAGAAATTAACAGTCCTACTTTATAAGTAGTAATAAGATTTACAGTGGTTAAGGGACTTGCTCAAGGACTTACAGCTAATAAATGGCAGAGTCAGATCTCTAACAGATCTTTGACTCCTAGGCTAATCTGTCTTCACTATGCGCAGAGTCTCATTGCTTCTCCTTCATTATTCTGTGCTTGCCATTATTGAATCACCGAAGGAAATAAAATTGATATTTGTCAACCTACATTGTTGTCAAGATAGTTTGATAAAGCCATTCAATCCTATAAATATCAGCTGTGTTTATATGACTGCATATATAAGTAAAACTGATTTCAACCATTTAAAGTAGTCCTGTAATGAAACTTTTTAAAAATTAAGTCCTTTATGAAATTAGGAAATTGTATATACATTTATTGAGTAGATTTTCACATTGTTTATTTAAAACATGACGTGTTATCCAGGATGAAGGTTTAGTGATTAATCTTTTGGTTTTGTAACCAGATTTGCAGCTTGGGCTCTGGGTTCAGGTTCTTGGCTTCCCTTGCTCTAAGAATTGAGCAGCAGTTTATTGAGCAAGGGAAGTAAAAGCTTCCACAGCATGGAAGGGTAGAAAGGGGGCCTGAGGGGGTTGCTGTTGATGGTCAGGTCTGCCGGGCTTATATCCCCAAGTAATTCTAAGTTGCTGAGTGTTTGTCCCCTAGTCTGTGTGGGGAGAGGACTTGTGACCATGAGTTACCTAATCGAATCATTCCTTTGAGTTGCTACGTGCCCCCTAGTCCTGTGTGGTGAGGGGGCTTGTGACCATGAGTAACCTAATTTCTCCTTCTGGTGGCGGTTTCCTAGTTTCAGTGAACTTGCAAGCAGTATTGGAATGTGGTTGAACAGCTGACTGATACTGTAAACACAGCCTCCTGATATGGTTAAAGGACCCATGTTGACCTTTTCCCGTGTTATGATTTCCAAAAGGTTCCCCATTGACCCAAAAGGTTTTATTCCCTCAGTTTCTACCTCATTTACCTTCAGAATAGCAATCTGGAACATTGAAAAAGCTTGCTTTAAAACCTTGCTAAGCAACTTATAGTATCTTTTCCCTATCATTGTTGGCATATTGTGTGTGTGCGTGCATTTTCACACACAGGTATGAAAGAAAGAATTGTGATACAGTATTAACTTCTGGTTCTTTCCTTTGGTCTTCATTTTCCTTTAAAAAAATATTCCCTAAAGTAAAAAGAGGTGTTTTTTTTTGGTTTTGTTTTCTTTCATTTTTTGGTTTAAATGAAATGAGTAGATTGCACCCAGGCAATAAATACTAAATTGATCGGGCCCATTGCAGTCGCTTGCACTTGTAATCCCAAGACTTTGGGAGGCCGACGCAGGCAGATCACCTGAGGTCAGAAGTTCAAGACCATCCTGGTGAAACCCTGTCTCTACTAAAAAAAAAAAAAAACAAAAATTAGCCAGACAGACACCTGTAATCCCAGCTACTCGGGAGGCTGAGGCAGGATGATGGTTTGAACCTAGGAGGTGGAGGTTGCAGTGAGTGGAGATCCTGCCACTGCGCTCCAGCCTGGGCAACAGAATGCAGAGTGACTCCCTCAAAAAAAAAAAATTTACTAAGTCGATCAGCTTCTCTGAGGCAGTAGGAACATAGTGTTGGAACTAGGATTATTTTAGTGTTTATTTGTTGTTTTTCTTATGTCAGACATTTTGTTAAGTAATTTTATTCACAATGACTTGTTTTTTTGCTATTGACTAAGTAGTATTAGAAGACAGTTTCTTTTCCCTTAAAAAAAATCATCTATATTTTACATGTGTTACTTTAATAAAGATCTCACAATGTTCTGGTTTTAAAGTATAAAAATATGCTACTGTAGTAAAGAGCCCCTTATCTTTCAAGTCAGAGGAATGCCACAGACTTGAAATATCAGCTTAATCATGTTGGATACCTTCTCTGGGTCTCAGATTCCTTGTACATAACATTATTTAGCTAAATATACCTGAGAATTTTTAAAATCCCAAACATTCTACATTTTTATTATGTTCATCTTTATGAAATAAAAGACAAACTAAGACAAAAATCTCTGCAGGAGGATTTATATAATGTTAGCCATTAGTATGTATTACTACTGAACTTGTTATTTAAGGTGTTTAATTTTATTTAAAAATTTAAGAATTCATAACTTGGCATTTTACACATTTCAAAACTACAATACAAAGCCTGTAATTAAAGTTTTTGTAGGCTAGGCATGATGGCTTACACCTGTAATCTCAGCAGTTGGGAGGCTGAGGTGGGAGGATCCCTTGAGCCCAGGAGTTTGAGACCAGCATGGGCAACATAGTGAGACCTCATCTCTATATGAAAAATAAAAATAAATTTTTTTAAGAAGGTTTTTGTAAGCCTTTATAGGAGAAATTGCTTTGGAGAATATCAACCCTAATTCCTTTTTTTTTTTTTTTTTTTGACAAAAATAGTGTATTATGTACATGTATTTTGAGATATGTATATATTGTGGAATGTCTAAATTGAGCTAGCAAATACATTATCTCACTTATTTTTTTTTTTGTGGTGAGACGATTTAAAAATATAGGCCATTTCACAAATTTGCATGTTGTTATCTTTGTTCAGGGGCTACGCTAATCTTCTCTGTATTGTTTCAGTCTTAGTATATGTGCCGCTGAAGCAGACACCCCAATTCCTTTCATTTAAGGATCTAGTTAACCTTTCTCTTAAGTATAACCATATATTTTGTTAAACAGTTTCTTTTTGTTACCAAAAATGCCCTTTTTGTTTCTGATTAAAAAATTGATTTTCTGTTACAGCACTTTTTAGAGTACATGTAAAAACTGGTGAAGTTTGAATAAGATTTGTACTTTAGTTAATAGTATGGATGTCAGTTTCTTGGTCTTGAACACGTACTATAGTTATGTTAGATGTTATTGGAAAAAGTTGGGGAAAGGGTGCATGGAAACTGTGAACCACTTTTACAACTTCTCATGAATCTTAAATTATTTGAAAGTAAGAAGTTAAAGCAAATTTACCTTTGAGGATTATTAAGTATGGATGTGTTTCCAGAAGTTACGTGTTATTGATTTTACTAATTGAGGGTTGGAATAAACTTCATGTGGGGAATAAAAATTAAGTTTGGATAAAATATAACACAGCTACAGAAAAGTACCCAAATGTCAAGTGTAAAATTCACGCAGTTTTCGTGAAGTGAAGCACAGCCGTATACCGAGCACCCAGGTGAGGAAATAAGACATATATCGGAACCCAGAATTCCTCTCATAATTCTGCCCAGTCACTGACATCCCACACCAAAATATAACCACTATCTTGACTAAACATTTAGTTCTGGTATTAAATACAAGAGAATATTAGTGAACTTCTTTTTTTTCTTTGCATCTAAAGCAAAATATTTGCATTCAAAATAGTATAACTAGCACAGTGATTAAGTTCTTAACTGTAAATTACCCCCCCCTTAATGCAGAAATTATGCACTTATAGAATTACGCTTTTAACTGTGGTGGTGTATTGGAAATCAACAGCAAAAGATGAAAATAAATTTGTTGTGGCATTGCTAGTTATTTACCAGAATCCCTTTTTCCATTTCTTGTCAGTGAGCTCATTTATCAATATCTACAGCACCTAATAGAACTCTTCGGTAGGGATAACTCAGCTGAACTGAAAAAATATTCTCAATTATAAAACTAATATATTCTCAATGCAGAAAACTTGGAAAACTCCAAAGCACATGAGGCATAATAGAATATTTTGGCTAGGGCAAAGCTGCGTCATATAAATGTCAGGTTTTTAGGGTTGAGTGGTATATGGGCTTATACCATTTCCCCCATTCCCTGTCCATCCAGAGTTCCTCTTTGTGCTGTCAGTGGGTAAGATTGTTAACATCTACTGGAATGCATGGGAAACTCAGTAAGGTGAGACCTTGCCTCCTAGCTGATTGAGATCGTGTGACTAAACCCTTGCCAGTGGAATGTGATAAGAAGTAATGCCTGCAACCTCTACTTCCCTTGCCGCTGAAGAAGAAACTTCTGAACCTGGACTTCCTTTCTTTGTCTTTTCCTGTTGGCTGGAATATCAACCATGTAAGACCGATACATCTCTGAATGACTGGAGCAGAGCGCACTCAGACCAGAATAGTCATTTTTTTTTTTAATGTCCAAATGATTTAATATGGAGTATTCATCTTGAACTGTTAGACAAAAACTTGCTCATTTCTTAAACCACTGCTTTTTGAGAGGGGACTCTTTGCAATAGCTGCTTAGCCTGTGATAACAAAATGCATATATCACTAAATGATTTTTTTTTCTTTGGAGACAGTCTTGCTCTGTCACACAGGCTGGAGTGCAGAGCACTCTTGACACTACAGTCTGGACCTCCTGGGTTCGGTCAGTCCTCCCACCTTAGCCTCAAGTAGCTGGGAGCACAGGCGTGCACCACCACACCCAGCTAATTTTTAACTTTTTTTGTAGAGATAAGATCTCATTATGTTGCCCAGGCTGAGCACAAACTCCTGGGCTCAAGCATTTCTGCCTCAGCATCCTAAAGTGCCAAGATTACAGCCATGAACCACCATGGCTGGCCTACATGATTCTTAAGCATGCATCCATTATAATAATTCTAAACTAAAATTGCAAAGTTAATGAGTGATTTACTAAAAAAAAAAAAAAAAAAAAGAAAAAGAAAAACTTAGCACAGGTTTAGTATTGCCCCATCACGTAGCTTGTGTCCTTGTATTCCTATGATATTCTCTTAAATGTAAGTGATTAGAGTACTCGATACTTAAAATCTTTTCCATGATAGCATATATTTAAAAAATAGAGACATGACATTTTAAAGCTTGTATAAACCATCTACAGCTCCTTTGTTTCATGGAGTCATTCATTTGATGTTGTCTGATCAATATATATGAATGTCCTATTTCCACCTCTGGTACCTATTCATTTGACAGTGAGATAATATGCATTAAAGAATCCTCACAGTATTTACGTATCAGCTGAAGGGAGCAACACTCATACCTTTAATTTGCATCTTCTAGTGGAAAATCAAGGTAACTGCAGGGAGTGTAACAGAAGCTGAAGGAGGAATATGTATCTTCCTTTGCTTAACAGTTATTGGTCTTTTTTTTTTTCTTTTTTTGGGGACGGAGTTTCGCTCTTGTTACCCAGGCTGGAGTGCAATGGCGCGATCTCGGCTCACCGCAACCTCTGCCTCCCGGGTTCAGGCAATTCTCCTGCCTCAGCCTCCTGAGTAGCTGGGATTACAGGCACATGCCACCATGCCCAGCTAATTTTTTGTATTTTTAGTAGAGACGGGGTTTCACCGTGTTGACCAGGATGGTCTCGATCTCTTGACCTCGTGATCCACCCGCCTCGGCCTCCCAAAGTGCTGGGATTACAGGCTTGAGCCACCGCGCCCGGCAACAGTTATTGGTCTTAATCATCCACACCTTCTTCATTAGTGTACAAGTAAAATTGATACACAGTGTAAATGGTGACTTTATCCATGAGACTGTGTAAGATTAAAAAACAAATCTCAAACTTAATGTTGCTTTGGAATTGTTTTATAGACTTTTTAAAAATGCTTAACATAATGTTGTATATGATAATTCAACTTAATTTATTCAGATAGATCATGACATTCAGTTGACTAATGTAGTATTTTATTAATTATTTTAGATAACGTCTCTATTGCCCAGGCTGGAGTGCAGTGGCAAGATCAGGGCTCACTGCAGCCTTGAACTCCAAGCTCAGGTGATCCTCCCACCTTGGCATCTCAAATAGCCAATACTACAGGCACATGCCACCATGCCCAGCTAATTTTTTTGTATTTTTTGTAGAGAAGGGGTTCTGCTATGTTGCTCAGACTAGTCTTGAATTCTTGGGCCCAAGATCCTCCAACCCCTGCCTCCCAAAGTGTTGGAATTGCAGGCGTGAGTGACTATGCCCAGCCCAAAGTATCATTTTAGAGAAATAGAAGTGTTTGGTAATTTATTTGTATAAATAGGCACTCTCAAATTTTGTCTAGCTTGCATCAGACTCACTAGAAAGGCTGGATAAGCCATTGCTGGGTCCTATCCCTAGGATTTGTTACAGTAGGTCTGGATAGGGCACAAGAATTTGCCTTTCAGATTTCAGAGAGTAGCTTATGCTACTCTCACAACCACAGCGTGATTAACTACGATTTTGTGGTATCTTTTCAAATTTACACAAAAATACATAAACAAGCACCCGAATTCCATTATTTTGCTTTAACAACAATTAAATGTTTTATCATACTGCTTTAGATCCCTTTCCCCTTTTTAAGGAAATAATGCACGCAGATGCAGTTAAATCTGTACTTCCTCTATCAGCTGATTTTCCTCCTTCCTTTTCTGAGAAGGTAATGACATTTCAGAATGTAATCATCCCATGTTCTCTTGCTACATGAATCTATACTCCAAACTAAGCAATTTTGCATGTTTTAAATTTGTCTGTAAATGATACAGCATGTATCTTTTTGCAGTTTTAAAAATTATATTTCTGGGATTTTTGCATGTGAATACATAGTCCTTCATAGTCACATTTATAACTGCAATGTAATCTTTAATTACATGAATATACCATGTTTATTCTACTGATGAGCATTTAGGTTGTAGCAGGCAAAGTAATGGTTACACAGTTGACTGCTTTTCTTTTCTTTTCTTTTTTTTTTGAGACAGAGTTTTTCACTCCTGTTGACCAGGCTGGAGTACAATGGCACAATCTTGGCTCACTGCCACCTCCACATCCTGGGTTTAAGCAGGTCTGCTGCCTCACCCTCCCAAGTAGCTGAGATTATACGCACCAGCCACCATGCCTGGCTAATTTTTGTGCTTAAGTAGAGACGGGATTTCACCATGTTGGTCGGGCTGGTCTTGAACTCCTGACCTCAGATAATCCACCAGCCTCGGCCTCCCAAAGTGCTGGGATTACAGGCGTGAGCCACTGCACCCAGGCTGCTTTTCTTTCTTTACTTCCTTTTTTCTTGGGGTCTTTGTTCTTCATGTTCTGTGAGATTGCCTCTCCCACATAAAATCACGTGCATTGCTTAATGATGGATATGTTCTGAGATACATCCTTAGGTGATTCTGTCATTGTGCAAACATCATAGAGTATACTTAGACAAACCTAGATGGTTCAGGCTACTATACAACAACCTATATAGTATAGCCTGTTGCTCCTAGGCTACAAACCTATCGATGTACTGAATACTATAGGCAGTTGTGATACAATAGTATTTGTATGTCTAAACATAGAAAAGGTACAGTAAAAATTCAGTATAAAAGATTGTTAAAATGGTACACCAGTGTTAGGCACTAAAATTAATGGAGCTTGCAGGACTGTAAGCAGCTCTGGGTGAGCAGTGAGTGAATGTCTGGGACATTGCTATGTACTACTGCAAACCAGTGATTGGCTTTGGCATGGGCATGTGGCACAGACCTGACTGATCAAAGATATGGAAACAGAAATCTGAGAGAGACTTGAAGGAAATATTTTTCTCCCTGGATAAAAAGAGAATCAAGAAGCTAAACCTTCCATCCAAACAGGATTTCTGAGGAAAACAATATTTAAAAAGATATACATCTTCCAGTTTTTAATATGATTATGCAAGGTTATCTTGAGACTCTGAGAGGGCAAATTTGAGAATG